AAACTGTTAAATCATTCTGTCCAAAATGGTCATCATTTATCCCAACCTATATCCAGTATGTCCAAAATGCTCATTGTTTATCCCAACCTAAATCTGATGTGTCCAAAATGCTCATCACTTATCCCAACCTGTATCGACTGCCCAAATCGGTTCCGATCATGAACTAAATAGGAAAATCGAACTGACCAATTCGGTTTGATGATTGTCCAATTGATTTTTCGTTTGTCCAAATCGCTTCACCTTTGTCCTAACTTACCTGGTCAAAGGGGTATTAATCTTTTCTTGCTCGCCGTGGGATCGGAGGTAGGGTGCTTTCGTTCTTACCTTCAGCAAGACGGACTGGATTCCTGACCTTGCACCCAGCTCTGATGTGGTGCTTCTCTGTTGTGTTTCTCCTCTTCGTCGCTTGCGGTGTTGCCCTTGATTACCTCGTTGCTTCCTGCTCCTTTCCCTGTTTTAGGAGTCTCTCTTCCCCCTTCCCCTCCTTGTCTTTCTCCTCTCCGTCGCTTGCGGTGCTGCCCTTGATTATCTCGTCGCTTCGTGCTCCTTTCCCTGTTTTAGGAGTCTCTCTTCCCCCTTCCCCTCTTTGTCTTTCTTCCCACTTTTGTCCTTTCTCATTCCTGTCGGCAGCGCTCCTCTCTCCTACTATTCTTGTGCATTTGTCCTCGTTTCTTGCCCTCCTCACTTTCCCTCCTGTTTCTATCGATGCTTGTCCCGTCGTGTCGTATCCCTTCCCTATTTTAGAATCCTCCCTATTCTCTTCCTCTCCTTTTCTCACTTCACGCTTTTGTCTGTTCTCTTTCCTATCAGCAGGACGCCTCCTCTTTGCTGGTCTTGGTGTATAATTCCTCACCCTTCGCTCACTTCTCTTCCCCTCCTATTTCTGTTAGGTGCGTGGTGATCATGAGAGCGCCACGCCCAAAGGGGTGGTGAGACGTGGCGCCTTTGGACTCTCCCGGCTCGCTCTTCCCTGTTCGAGAACGCGGAGTGGCGAGAGGCGCGCACTCCCACGGGCATGGGAAAAAATTGAAAAATCGAAAGGGCCAGCGACGCAGGCACTCGACTTAGCGCAGTGGGCAGCGCGAAAAATAGCGCTAACCTTCGGCGCTCACGAAAAAAACAGCCAGGCCTGTGGCCCCCCCTAGGTGAAGGCGGGCCTGAATATTCACAAGAGCCGAATTTTGACATTTTTCCGTGTGTGGGCACTCAAGCAGTTAGAACACGACAGTTGGTTGCAAGGAAACGTGATGCCTCTCGGCTCTTTCCGCAAGGTGTGTGCTGCGCCGTACAGTTGAGCCTTGGGCACATACATTGCAAGGCAGATACATCACGAACTGGCCACCTGCCTACGAGAAAGCAGCATTGTCGATGTACCTGCCCCGCGGCCAGTTCAAGTGCCGCAAATGGCTAAAGTCTGAAAATCCTGGGCTGCCCAACTGTGAAGTGCCCAGGCCCGCAGCTGTAGAGAAGGGCCTGGGCGCAGGCACTGGGGCCCGACTGGAAGCTACTGGAAGCTACTGGAAGCTACTGGAAGCTTCTCAGCCAGTCCCACACGCAGCAAGCAGGGCTGTCACTTCCATAAAGGAAAGGAGGCAGCCAAAGTCAGGCATTCTGGCCCAAGCTGGCAATGCGGTCACGCTGCTGCACTGTTGTGCAAGTGGCTGCATGCTGCGCTATTCGGCCAGGGGGGGTGATGAGGGGAGACGACATACGTACCTGGTGCATGAGGGAGGTCAGCTATGGTGTTGACGTCATGTACATTGGTCTTCGAAGTCGAAGTGAGCCTGTTGCATGAATGCGGCTGTAGTAGATAGGCAAGTAGTGTAGGCTGGGCGCTGGGCGCTGGATAGAGAGGAGCGACATTGGATACTGTGTTGGTGTGGCCTGAGGGCTTGAACATTGGCTCACGAGTTCATTGTATTGCTCTTATTTGGATGGAATCTCAGTGCATTTGTGCTCTGCTTGTACATGACTATCTGGACATCTGCGTCATTATGCAACTTGGTTTTCTGTATATCACTCTCGCTCATATTCCTTGCAATTTGGTATCGGAGCTGGTTCAAGATCGCCAATCTGCCCCTGGCGACATTGTTACTTGGTGCGCTGACGATGCTTCTGTGCAGTGAAGATACATTGGCGCTGGCTTGTTTAAGCAGCACCCGGGTAGAGGGGTGAGCCACTGGAAGGTTGTGGCGACAGCGGATGTATGCATGATGATGAGAGCATGCTGATGTGGCTCTGCATTGCGTTGTGGGTGGTACCGAAGCTACGACCGGTCATCGAAATGCACATTGGCTCAATTGGTGAGAAATCTGTGGTTGGGGGCAGCTATCTCTAGGTACGTTGTTCCCTTACCTTATATACCCTCTCAATCTCTGCTTACCGTTTGGAAGTGAGTCCAACCTTGAGTGTCCTCTCTTCATGAGGAGTCGTGAACGCTCTACCTTGAGAGACGATGTTCTTCCCAGTGGCGCATCTGGCTAGAGGGTGGTGCCTCTGAAGGTCCCTAGTCGAAGCACGGGTCACGGTCACCATGCAACCCATACACGCAGGCCATGCTGCTTTGTCCTTTGAAGGCTCTTTGCTGCGCTGATAGAAAGGGTGTGCGGACTGACCAGTCCTATGCAGATGCCTACCAGACCGTCTATAAATATTTCTGGCGGGGTTCTGAACTATCCACTGGTTGTGATCGTCGTCCTGATTGCGACGTTAAATAATTCCCGAGGAACTTGGGGGTTGTCCTTAAACTGCCTCTTGATCAGCCAAATCAGTAAGACATAAGGCTAGCTGCACACGAGGATAAAGAACAGGCAGTTCTGGTCAACTATCAATCACAACTATACCAATTGTGCATACATCCGCTCACATGATTTATTTTTATTTTTTATTAGTTGGTGGACGGACTGCTGACACCTAACAGACAGCCTAGATTAGTACTGTAGTGTTCTAATATAGCCAGTTCTTACCTGTTGTGAATGAAACTAATCAAGGTAGAAGTAGATCATGTGTACAATTTGTGTGAATCTTGTTGATACCACTTGATCAGTAGCCTGGGCAACTTACCAAATATTTATTTATTTTTCAACTCAGTCAGACACACACTGTGGTAGGCTATAGCGAGAGCATTAGTGCATATAGTGTCTGCCTAGCTGATGAGTGGACCAGGCAGTGGTGAGGACAGATCTGTAGGAAGAAGGGTGACACGTCAGGAGTTCCTTAGGATCCCCATTGTGCACCAAGCTGTACCCCCTGGGGAAGAGAGGGCTCTACAACAGGAGACAGTAGCTAAATGCTTACAAAGGGCTAGGGAAGCAGCAACAGCAGTTGAGCGAATGCTAGCAGCGGCAACAGCCACTATAGCAGCTATGGCTACTTTTGCTGCTACCTCAGCAGCTATGGCTACTTCTGCTGCTACCTCAGCAGCTACCTCAACAGCTACATCTAGTCAGATGAGTGTAGGCATGCCACACACTTCGCAGACCACATCCAGCACAGTGGTGACAAGCAGCTCTTCCAGTCATATGGCGGGCTTGCAGTTCAGCTCGCCACCTCCACGAAATAGGGAAGCCATTGAACTCCAGCAAGTGGAGTTGATCCGCTTACAGCTAGAGAAGGAACTTAAAGAAGCTACTGAAAAGGAGAATGAGATTAGAACTAGGAAAGCTAGACTAGAGAATAGGAAGGCGGTCAAAGTTGTTGTAGAAGGGTTAGATGATGTTGTCATTGATGACAACACGCGGATCATCAAGGCAAGTCTCTTGTCCATGCATGCATGCATGGGCAACAAACTGGATGCTATCCAGGATACCCTTGACCAGATACTGACCACCATGCAGGGAATGGGAAGAGCTTTCCCATCTCCAATAGGTTTTCCGGCCTCCAGTTTTCCCATCGCCGATTTCCTCACCGGTGATGACTGGCCTTACTATGTCTCAGATTAGCAGTTCACCAAGCGGTACTTCAGCAGCAGCAGCACAAACTGTTGCTTCTTCATCTTCCAGAACAGCGGTTGTAGCTACACCACAGCTGGTCCCATCAGTGGGACAGCAACCTTGGTACCCAAAGACTCCACTGAAGCCACCCTCAACCTTCTCATGTGATAAGAAGGATGAGGCTCTTGACCTTTGGTTGAGAACGGTTCCAATGTGGGTCAGGGCAAAGAGGACGCTGGTAGAGGAAGAGGTGATCACTGCCGCATCAAATTCGGAAGGTTCGATAGTGCGATGGTTAGATGGATTAATGGCTTCGAAGGGATTCGGAAGAAACATGAGTGATTGGGCGAAGACCCATACTTTAGAGAGTTTTATGGACTTGGTAGAAGTGCGTTGGCACAACCCATAGCAGGCCCAGCGGGCCACTGATGCGTTGACCCGGCTTGATAAGAAGAGGTATACGAATGTGCGCGGACTTACCGCCACCGTAGAACGTCTCATTGTGGTCCCCGGAGTTCACTATGGTCCACAGGTCTTAATGACCATGTTCTTGAGATGTCTTCCCACAAACGTCCGGAACTTGCTAGCCAGCGAGGCTCGCCTCGAGTACCACACGTTTGAGACCTTTAGCAAAAAGGCCTTAGACTTAGAGGCCACGATAGGAGGTGCTCAACAGCCCTCTACCGATGGAAGAAAGAAGAAGAGTCCACAAGAGTGGAAGAAAAAGGGTAGTCGATTGATGATGGTTGATTCCGAGGGGAATCCAACCGAGATCGATGATGTTTCTGATCTTGTGGATGGTTCGGAGTTGGACAGCGAGGAGTTAGCTGAGGGTAGCAGTCTTGCCTCCTAGGTAAAGGTTAAGGCAGGTGGTCGTGGCAAGGGTGGTCAACCAAAAAATCAAGGACAGATCCAAACCCCTACAAGGTTACAGCTTGGGTGCAGGCGGGTCTGGATCAAGATGTGTGGCGCGACCGATATTCGTGAGGAGCTTGGGTCAACTGCGGTGAGTACGGTCACCAGCAAGTTAGGTGCAAGAACGTGAAGGTAACACAAAAGATTGGTCCCAAAGGTGGCTTTGGAAGATCGTTTTTCCAAAGTGGAACTTCTGCGAGTTCCAGTTCGGCAAAACACATCGGGCCAATATAAGTTATAGTTGCTTCGACTCCTGATGAAGTGGGCGATGTACCCTCCCCACTTCAAGAGTTGGCCGAAGCTATCGACTCTCTAGTCACCCCGCAGACGCATCCTGACCCAACGGTACTTTGTTCGTTAGATGTGTCTGAAGCCTTAGAGCACTTGCAAAATGAGTGGTCGACAAGTACCCTCGCGAGTCTTGGGTGGCGCTTAGTAGAGGTCCTAAACGGGAGCACTTCATTGTGGAAGTTGGTGTAAGTGGTCGCAATTGTGGTGCCTTCGTAGACATCGGCTCCATGATAAACTTCATTAGCGGCGACTGCGTTGAGAGACTGCGCCTAGGGAACCAGGTGCAGCACCTTACTAGACCAATAGCATCTACTTTGGCCAACAAAGAGCGCATGCTGGTTGAAGACAACGTCAAGGATGTAGTCTGCACCTTCTACTATGGAGGTGGGGAACTTAATCATAGGATTTCGTTCCTAGTCAGCGACGACTTACCATTTGACATGTTGTTGGGTATGTACTACCTCGAGGTTGCCAAGCCCCAGTTTGACTGGGACCGAAAAGTGCTTAAGCATGTACTACCGGAAGGGAGGACAGTCATACTTGCCAAGGACAAAGCTAGCAGTCTAATAGACATTCACGGATGTATGTGTGCATCAACCTTCTATAACTACTATAAACAGAACCAAGAGGAGGGTATGTACTTAGTCTTTGTCTCTGCGAAAGGGGAGGCCGTCAAAACACCTCCAAAGATAGAAAGTGTCATCGCGAAATACCCTGATCTGTTTGAAGAGCCTTCAGGAGTCGTAGACAGGGAGGTTGTCCATGCCATAGAGATCATCCCAGGGAGCAAGATACCCAAAGGGAGAATCTATAGGATGGCTCCCGCTGAGTTGGACGAGCTTCGTCGGCAACTGAAAGAGCTCACCGAGAAGGGATGAATACGGCCTAGTACCTCCCCCTTTAGGCTCACCGGTCTTATTTGTCCCGAAGAAGGGGGGCACATTGAGGATGTGCATTGATTTTTGAGGCCCCAATGCCATTACTGTGAAAAACGCAAAGCCTCTACCACGCACTGATGACCTGTTGGATAGAGTACAGGGATGTAAGCACTTCACTAAGATAGATTTGAAATCCGGCTACCATCAAATTGCCATTGGACCCGAGGACCAGCACAAAACCGCGTTTCAGACTAGGTACGGTCTGTACGAGTTTGTCGTGATGCCCTTTGGCCATTGCAATGCCCCGGGAACATTCCAGCACGCCATAAATAGGATACTCCATGACTACATAGATAAGTTTATCGTCATGTACCTCGACGACATTCTTATCTTTAGTAAAACAATCGAGGAGCATGCTCAACACTTAGAGACTGTTTTCTCACTCCTACGACAACACAAGTATAAGATTAACTCAGAGAAATGCGAGTTCGGTCACACTAAAATCTTGTACTTGGGTCATGAGATATCCGCGGATGGGATCAGGCCTGAAGATGCTAAGGTGGCTAGCATTCGTGACTGGCCACGACCTCAGTTTGTGCCTGAGGTCAGATCATTCTTAGGGATGACAGGCTACTACGGCAACTTTGTCAAGAATTATAGTACAATGGCCAACCCTTTTATTGATCTAACTCGGCTTGACACTCCATGGGAATGGACGGACGAGTGTGAAGATGCTTTCAAGCGATTGAAGCATGCTCTCACGCACCACTAGGTTCTTATGGTTCCCGATCCTCATAGGCCATTTGTAGTGACCACTGACGCAAGCCAATATGACATTGACGCAGTGCTAGCTCAACAAGAAGGGAATAAGTTGAGGCCAATCGAGTACATGAGCAAAACGATGCCTTCTAAGAAGTTAGCGAAGTCCACCTACAAAAGGGAACTCTACGCCCTTTACAAGGCACTTGTCCATTGGAGACACTATGTGTTGGGAAGATTCTTCTATCTGAGGACTGACCATCAGACCCTCAAGTGGATAAAGACACAACCTGTTCTCTCTGATGCAATTAAACGTTGGATTGAGGTCATAGACCAGTATGACTTCAAGCTAGACTATGTGAAGGGAGAGCAAACAAGGTTGTTGATGCGCTGTCACGTAGGGCAGATTACCTAGGTGCACTAATTACGGAGTTTGGCCTATCTGATAATGTATCTCGATTGTTGGTGGAAGCCTACAAGGAAGACACTATCACGATGGACATCGTCCGCGAACTTGAGGTCCGAGACAAGGCCACATCTGATGAGTTTGTGGTGGTGGATAGGTTACTCTTTCTTGAAAAGGTTGGGTTCAAAAGATTAGTAGTTCCATCTAGGGAGATTTTGCGTAGTTTATTTTTAGGCGAGAGCCACGACGCAACGAGACATTTTGGCTATAAAAAGACTAGTGCTAACTTAGTACAACGATTCTGGTGGCCTAACATGCTGGACGATCCAAAGAAGTATGTACAAACTTGTCAGGTCTGTCAGCGGGACAAGCCGCGAACTCAAGCTCTGCTTGGGTTGTTAAAGCCTCTACCCATTCCTGCTGGTCCGAGAGAGAGTGTTTCCATGGACTTCATGGATACCCTCGTGACCAGCAAGAGTGGCAAGAGGCATATCTTCGTCATAGTTGATAGGTTTACTAAGTACGCTAGACTCGTTGCCATGCTGAAGATAGCCAGGACTAAGCACGTCATCAAGTTATTCATGGATAACTGGGTGCGTGACTTTGGACTGCCAAGGACTATTGTTAGTGATAAAGATGTCGGCTTCACCAGTGAGATGTGGAAGAAGGTTGCAGAACAGATGGGCAGCCAACTCCAGATGACTTCAGGGAATCATCCTGAAGTCAACGGGCAGGCTGAACAAATGAACCAAGTGGTGCAGCATCTGCAGAGGCACTATATAAAGCCCAGCCAAGATGATTGGGGTGAGAAATTGCCTCTCATCGCCAATCTGTACAACACTGTTATACCCAGCACCACCGATGTCACTCCTAATCAGCTGCACTTGGGGTGGAAGCCTAGATCTGCTCTAGACTTCCTCCTGCCTGAGAACCAACCTGCTGCAACCCCTGGAACCATTGAATTTAGTGTCCAGTATAAGAAGTTGCTGCAGCAGGCTGTCAAACATATAAAGAAATCTCAGGAAGCTATGATTGCTTATGAGAACAAGTATCGTCGACAGTCCACCTTTCAGGTAGAGGAACATGTTTGGGTTAAGGCTAGTGAGTTGGGACAGGAGTTAGGCATCTCTAGAAAACTAATGCCCCAGTATTTCGGTCCCTGGGAAGTCTTAGATATTGTGGGTAGTGAAGAGGATGGTCCCTCGTACGTGATTCATATCCCTGGTCACCTACGCACTTACCCTGTGTTTCACGCCTCAAAGCTTGCACCTTTCGCCGAGACACAGCAGTTCCCATCAAGGACATCTATGTTGCCCCCAACCATGGATGGCCACGTGGACGCTGACGACATCTTGCAACACAGAGACATGCCTGTTCCCAAGCCAGCTGGCAAGGGAAGACCGCCTAAACCTATCAGAGAGTACAGAGTCCGGTTCAGGCATTATACGGATCCAAAGGAAGATCGTTGGTTCAAAAGGGAGGAACTTGTCAAGACAGCTCCTCAGATCGTGGCTGAGTACGAACGTACATTGAAGGGGAAGGCACCTGCATAAGCAACATCTCAGCTGTAACGAGCGTGAGGCTGAGGGTGAGCCGAGGGAGAGGAGAGAGAGGGAGAGAGTGAGAGCACACACACACACTCACTCACTCGACACGACGGACTCGGACTGAGGATCGGACGCAGACACAGTGGCAAGGCACAAAGTCGAAGTCTTGGATTCCCGAATGCCGAAAACAGCAAGTCACACTGAGTACGAGTACAGCAACAGAGAACTGGTACGAGACTGCCCCCGTACCGTACGGGGAGCCGATATAAGTACCGGTGACACGTACGGTACCAGGGGCATTTCTGCAAAGGCCCCCGAGGGCAGAACTGAAAAATGCAGTATTTGAAAGTGGCGCCCGAATTGCAGCATGGCGCCAGTTGTCCGAAATCCTATGGTACCAAAGGAGGAGTTTGGAAAAAGGGCGCCAGGCCGAAAACGGGATGCAACTGAAACAGCAAAAAAATAAACCAGGGATCGAGCCCTGGCGAAGTCCGTAACACTATCCCCTCCCTCTAGAAGGCAACGTCCCGGCTGCCAAAAATCATGAAGCAATGCTGAAATCTGTGAAGGACGGGACGGGGCCGATCACTGGTTAACAAGTCGAAAGGGAAGAGGGGTATAATGTGGGTGGCATGGGCTGCGGGAGTAAGAGGGAACATGGTTTGGTACTTGTGAACAGAGTTGTCCTACTGATGAACTAGGGGGGGTTGCAAGGAACACGGTAGTCCTACTGATGAACTAAGGGGACTGCATGGTTCGCTATAGGTTAAGGGGGAACAGAGTTCGGGGAACAGAGTTCTGGGAACAGGGAACTTCTATTGATGTTCTACTGGGTAAGGGAAACGGTGTTCAGGGGAACAGGGGATGTCTATTGATGTTCTAGTGGGTACGGGGAACAATGGTTAGGGAAACAGGGATCTTCTAATGATGTTCTACAGGGTTGTCAAAGTCAGGAAAAATAAAAATGAAAATGTTTGTTCAGGATGCGAAGGCTGGTGTGTCCGAAGGAGTCGGAAGCAGAATCTCATGTAGGAACAAAGTGTCCAAGTGTCTTGAAAGGGGGTCTGCAGCGGTCTTGATCAGGTCTTTTGGAGTAGGTGGTAGAAGCGGTCTTTAGCAGCTGCGATAGGTAGAAGTCCAAGAAGCGTAGTAATAGTTCAAGTGTCAAAGTCCAAGTGCTAGGGTGCGTCCGGTACACGAACTGCAATGAGGTCTGATCTGGAAGCAAGGAAGTCGCAGACTGATGCAAAGATCCATGTCACAAGTTGCTGCTCCAGTAAGTCCGCRAGTCGGGATGCCGGCCAATGAAACAGCATGGTGGCCAAACCAGCTGCATATTCTCCATGAACAGTGAGGCAGCAGATCATCGTCCTCGTGCGCTTGCCATTAGATCCTTTATCGTCGGCGTCACGCAAGTTCACAAGCATTGGACAAGAGAGACAAGGTAGTGGAGAGGACAGATGGGACAAGGCTAGGCGAGGGCAAGGG